GCAGCAGCAGCAGCAGCAGCAGCAGCAGCAGCAGCAGCAGCAGCAGCAGCAGCAGCAGCAGCAGCAGCAGCAGCAGCAGCAGCACAGCCCCACAGCCAGCAGCGCCTCCCAAGTTTGCCGGTCAAAAGGGTTTGCCCGCAGCTGCCCCTCCAAAGCCAAAATGGTGGGGTTGTTGTTATTTCGGAGGCCCTCGGGGGGCCCCCTTTTGTGCCGAAGACCCACAAAGACCCCATCCACTTCCAGCGCGTACAGCGGCAGCACTTCGCAGGCCAGGGGCTGGGGGCCCCCTATTGCGTATGTGGACATTTGCGCCGGAGACGGCGGAGGGGGAGTCGAGTTTTGCTGCAGCAGCAGGAACTGCTGCTGCTGCTGCTGCTGCTGCTGCTGCTGGCTGGGCCCTCTTGCTGCTGCAGGGGCCCCTGGAAGGGCCCCTGGGGGCCGGCGGGGGGCCCCTACGCTTGTGAGGGTTTTGAGGAGCTGCTGAGGGGAAAAGGGTTTAGGGAGAAGCAAGAAGCCAGTGCAGCAGCAGCAGCAACCCGGTGAGGCCCGCTGTTTAGGGTTTAGGGTTTAGGGTTTAGGGTTTAGGGTTTGCAGGCGCCAGAGGTGCTCAATCTGCCCCGCGGAGTGATGCGGATTAAAGGGTCACATGGGTGCGCGCTGAGGTGTACGTACACCTGCAAAGGGAAACGAGATCGATCCCATGAGAAACGCATGCAGCAGCAGCAGCAGCAGCAGCAGCAGCAGCAGCAGCAGCAGCAGCAGCAGCAGCGGCTGGGGCTGGGGCTTGCTGCTGCTGTTTGCGCTGTTCGGGATCTTAGGCGCCGCGAGTTTGATTTAATTGTTCAAAAAAGAATTAATAAAAATAAATGCAAATTAGAAATGCAAACAGATGCACGGGTTGCTGCGGGACAAACTGAGGTGTACATACACCTCAGCATCCCCTGCCACTGAACCCCCGACACCCAGCCGCCAATAATAACCAGAAAAACAATTCTTTTTAAAATAAATATATTTAAAAACATAATTTCAACTATTTAGTCCACCATGCTGTTTCCAGTTCCCAGTTTTACCCTCTAGGGTGTACATACACCTCAAATCAAAATTCCAAAATGGCCCCTCAAACCCTCTGCGCCCCCTCCATCCGCCAGGCCCCTGGGGGGCCCCCTGGGGGCCCCTCTTGCGGGCCCCTAGGGGCCTCTGGGGGTCCCCCCGGGGGGCCCCCCGGGGCTCTCCCTTGGGGGCCCCTAGGGGCCCCGCTTCTGAGTTTGCTAGAGGGGGGCCCCCTGTGGGGGCCCCCTGTGGGGGGCCCCCACAGGGGGGCCCCCAAGAACTTTGGGGGGCCCCCCAAGGCCTTAGAGGGGCCCCTCTTCCGCTGCATTTCTGCAGAAGATTTGAGACTTGCTTTGTCTCCTCAGGGGGCCCTTGGGCAGCAGCTGAAAAGGGGGGCCCCCTCCTTCTCTTCTGCCTCTTCTTTTAGTTCTTGGGGGCCCCCAGGGGCCCCCGAGGGCCCCGGGGGGCCCCCCGGGGGCCCCGGGGGCCCCCAGAGTGAAGGTGAGGGGCCCCCAAGGCTTTAGCTGCAAAGAGACAAAAAAAGACAAAACAGCAGAAAAAATATGAAATGAAAAAAGTATTAATTTATCAGATTACTAATTAATTGGTAAAGTTCTAATTAATTAATTAATCAACTAATTAATTAATTAATTAATTAACTAACTAATTAATTAATTAATTAATTCACTAATTAATTAATTCACTAATTAATTAATTAATTAATTAATTAATTAATTAATTAATTAATTAATTAATTAATTAATTAGTTAATGTTTTGCGCAGAGAAGGGCTTTTCGCCCGCAGCTGCAAAACCCCCAAAAGAAATGAAGCAGCTTTTAGAGCTGCAGCAAGAGCAGGACTCTCCAACAGTAAACAACTCACAAGCTAGGGTTTAGGGTTTAGGGTTTAGGGTTTAGGGTTTAGGGCCTAGGGTTTGGAGTTTAGGGTTTCCAGGCAAGAGCCAGACCCTGCCGTGTGATGCCGCGGGGTCCCAGGCTGTGCAAGTTTTACGGCACAGCGTTAGGGTTTAGGGTTTAGGGTTTGGCGTTTAGGGTTTAGGGTTTAGGGTTTAGGGTTTAGGGTTTTGCACAGGTTTCCACTGTGGAGGCGTCCACGATTTGGCTTTCGAGCAAAGAGAAGCAAATAGCAGCAAAGGCCGAAACGGAGGGCCTGCGCTGTACGAAACCTCAAACCCTAAACCCTAAACCCTAAACCCTAGACCACCAGCAGCTGCCGCACGTGGAGAGCTCGGTGGCCTGCGCCTTGTGTGTTCACAGTCTAGGGTTTAGGCTTTGAGGGTTTAGTGTTTAGGGTTTAGGGTTTGAGTTTGAGTATTAGGGTTTAGGGTTTACAGTTAGAGTTTAGGGTTTAGGTGCTTGGTCACAAACTGCTGCGTCGTAGCGGTTCTTTCCTTTCTGCTGCAGCAGCAGCAGCAACCCCGAAAGCAGCAGCAGCAACGCCAGCAGCAGCAGCAGCAGCAGCAGCAGCAGCAGCAGCAGCAGTAACGGCAGCAGCAGCAGCAAACAGCAGCAGCGGGGCTATAGAGAACTCGTTGGGCCCCCAGAAGGCCCTGAGGGGGCTGAGGGCCCCTGGAAGGTCAGGAGGCCCTGCAGCCGAAAACCCTAAACCCTAAACCCTAAACCCTAAACCCTAAAGAGGCCTGAGAAGCACTTGGCTGCAGTATGTTGTGCTGCAGAGGCAACCGGGGTCTTTCAAGCTCGAAAACCCTGAACCCTAAACCCTCAACAAACCCTAAACCCTTGAGAAGTTCTAAACCCTCGGAAAACCCTAAACCCTCGGGAAACCCTAAACCCTCAGAAACCCCAAAACCCTCGAACTCGCGCAGCCAGACGCCTCCTTCTTCCCAGCAGGAAACTGTGTCAGCACCTGCTGAATTGTTGCAGGTATGCATTAGGGTTTAGGGTTTAGGGTTTAGGGTTTAGGGTTCAGCGCTCGGGACTTAGGGTTTAGGATTAGGGCCGATGGCGTGAGGGTTTAGGGTTTTCATTAAGAGGCTAAGCCGAAGAACAGAATCAAACCCCGCAGACACAACTGCAGAACAGACCCTAAACCCTAAACCCTAAACCCTAGACCCCAAACCCTAAACCCCCAAACCTAAGCCCTAAATGCTTAGGACCCCGAAGCCTCTATCTTCGCTGCGCAGGAGTTCAGTGAAGAAGCAGCAGCAGCAGCAGCAGCAGCAGCAGCAGCAGCAGAAGCAGCAGCTGCAGCTGAAGCAACAACAGAAGCAGCAGCAGCAGCAGCAGAAGCAGAAGCCTCAACAACAACCGCAGCATCAACTGCAGCAGCAGCAGCACCTGGGTCTGCAGCAGCAGATCCGTGGGCTTTGTAGCCCCAGCTTCCAGACCCTAAACCCTAAAACCTAAACCCTAAGCCATAAACCCTAAACCCTAAACCCTAAACCCTGAAGTCCAAACCATAGGCTTAATACTCATTGCTTGGGTGTACGTACAGCTCGGCGGTTTACAAGGCAGATGCACTGCGATTCGCTGAGAGTAAGTTGGAGAGGTTTAGGGTTTAGGGTTTAGGGTTTAGGGTTTAGGGTTTAAGGCTTGAGGGTTTAGGGGTTTAGAATCCAGTGGGGGTTTAGGGTTTAGGGTTTAGGGTTTTGGGGTTTAGGCGGGGTTCGCAGAGTACTTCGAGTTGAAGCACAAAATGACAGTGGCAGAGAACAAGTGGAAGAAAAAGGAGGAGAAGCTGCAGGCAGGTTTGAGGGGTTTAGGGTTTAGGGTTTAGGGTTTAGGGTTTAGGGTTTAGGGTTTAGGGTTTATTTTTTTTCTCTTTAGTTTTGTCCCCCCTTTCCTTCTTTTTATTCTTCAGCTTCAAATCAGGCAGATCAAAGCAGCAAATAAACGCAACGGAAATGAACACCGCTTTCAAGTGACTCAAGCCCTAAACCCTAAACCCTAAACCCTAAACCCTAAACCCTCGACGAAGTTCAATTGGTGAACAGGGACTTGGGATTTTTGCCAAAGGTTTTGCATGCATGCGGCATTTGACTTGAAAAATGCGCTTAGAGCCTAGGGCTTAGGGTTTAGGGTTTAGGGTTTAGGGTTTAGGGTTTAGGGTTTAGGGTTTGGGGTTTGCCGAAGGCCCTGAAGGAAAAGGAGAGTCTGGCGAGGCGCCGAGCGGCTCTTTTTAAAGAGTGAGATTTGTTTTTTTTCTTTTTTTCTTTTTTAAATTTATTTCTTCTTTTATCTTTTTATTTTCTTCTTTTTGTTTTCTTTTCTTTTTTATTTATCTCCTTTTGTTTCTGTTGTCTTTTGTCCTTTTCTTTCCCCGCTGCTGCCTCCCGCACTGAGCCATTTCGGGGGTTTAGGGTTTAGGGTTTAGGGTTTAGGGTTTAGGGTTTGGGGCCGGTTTGCGTGCTGTGCAGGAGGCTTCAGGGAGTCACAAAGGCAGCGCAGGAGGAGAGGGTGAGGCCTTCTGGAGCAAGGGTTTAGGGTTTAGGGTTTAGGGTTTAGAGTGTAGGGTTTAGGGCTTACGGTTTAGGGTTTAGGGTTTAATACCTTTTCGCAGCCGTGGGTCGTTTGCTGTTATCTGAGCCTCTTGTTCTTTTTGCATGAAACTTAAATACTTTGTTCAAGGGTTTAGGGTTTAGGGTTTAGGGTTTAGGGTTTAGGTCCAGCCAGTAGTCAGTGCTGAGGGTTTAGGGAGTGAGTGGAGGGTTGAGGAGAGCCTCTCTCGCGTCACAGGCCAGCGTCTAGGGTTTAGGGTTTAGAGCTAACAGCTACGGTTTGGGATGAAGGGTTTAGGGTTTAGGGTTTAGGGTTTAGGGTTTAGGGTTTAGGGTTTGCGCTTCAGAGCCGCCTGAGCGCCCGCGCTGTTGCCCAAGAGAAAAAAGCCCTAAAGGAGCGGCTGCTGCTGCAGCAGCAGCAGCAGCAGCAGCAAGAGAAGCAGCGGGAGACAGCGCAAACCCTGCGTTTTCTTTCTCTACAAATTGTTCTTGCAAACAAGAAGCTGCAGGTCAGGGTTTAGGGTTTAGGGTTTAGGGTTTAGGGTTTGGAGCCGAGGGGCTAGCGTCTAGGGTTTAGCGCGTGAGGCGTAACCATTTGGGCATTTAGGGGATAGTCCTAAGCGAGAAAAATTCAAACTTTAGGGTTTAGGGTTTAGGGTTTAGGGTTTAGGGTTTAGGGCCGAGGGTTTAGGGTTTAGGGTTTGGGGTGCGTTTCCAGGCTCTTGAGCGCTTCGGGATGTCCCTTCTGAAGCTCTACAGAAAATTTATCACTTCAAATAATTTGAAACCCCTACGTACCCTAAACCCTAAACCCTAAACCCTAAACCCTAAAGCCTAAATTCTAGACCACCCGAGAGCTTAAACCCTAAACACTAAACCCTAAACCCTATTTCCTAAAACCTGGCATGTTGCTATGGGCCACCGGAGAGCAGAGGCACTACACACGACACCCTACATTCTAGGGTTTAGGGTTTAAGGATTAGGGTTTAGGGTTTAGGGTTTGTGCTGCAGGAGAAATGGAATTGGGGTTTGCAGAATGGCTGCAGCACATCAAAAGCACAGAAAAAGACTACACAGCTGCTGCTGCTGCCCTTTCAGCCATTAGGATGATGGGGGCCCCTGCTGGGGCCCCCATGGGGGCCCCTGCTGGGGCCCCCCTGGGGTCCCCCTTGGGGGCCCCCCTCGGGGCCCCCACAGGAGCTCCCCAGGGGGTCCTTTCGGGGGCCCCTTTGGGGGCCCCTCCGGGGTCCCCTTTGGGGGCCCCTTCGGGGGCCCCTATGGGGGCCCCTATGGGGGCCCCTTCGGGGGCCCCTTCGGGGACGCCTTTGGGGGCCCCTTCGGGGGCCCCTTTGGGGGCCCCTTCGGGGGCCCCTTCGGGGACGCCTTTGGGGGCCCCTTCGGGGGCCCCTTTGGGGGCCCCTTCGGGGACCCCTTCGGGGACGCCTTTGGGGGCCCCTTCGGGGGCCCCTTTGGGGGCCCCTCTGGGTGCCCCTTCGGGGGCCCCTTTGGGGGCCCCTTTGGGGGCCCCTTCGGGGGCCCCTTTGGGGGCCCCTTCGTGGGCCCCTTTGGGGGCCCCTCTGGGGGCTCCAGAGGGGCCCCCTGCAGAGCCCCTGAGGGCCCTCAGGGGCTTGGAGGGCTCCCAAGGGCCCCAAACCGTAGCCTCAGCGCCTGCAACTGCAGCAGCAGCAGCAGCAGCAGCAGCAGCAACAACAACAACAGCAGCAGCAAGTGGCCCCAGGAAACTCCCTGCTTCTGAACCCCTACCTATAAACCCTACAACTTTCCAGAGAACCCAGGGGGCCCCCTGTGGGGCCCCTGAGGGCCCCCGGGGGGCCCCTGGGGCCCCCCCGAGGCTCTCTGAGGGCCCTTGGAGCTCCGTCAACCAAAAAGGAGACACTGCAGCAGCAGCAGCAGCAACTGCAGCAGCAGCAGAAGAGGGGGAGCAGCAGCAGACGTAAGCTGCCTGCCTCGCAGCCAAAGACGGGGCCCCCGAATCAGAGGGGGGCCCCCCAGTGGGTGGGGGCCCCCAAGCTGAAGGGGGCCCCCCAAGAGGCCCCCAAGTAGGTCTGCAAGTGATTGGGGGCCCCCCAAAATGTGGGGCCCCTCCGAGGGCCCTTGGGGGCCCCCCAAATCATGGGGGGCCCCCCAGTGCTTCGCAGCCCGCTGAAGCTGCTGGGGCCCCTGTGGTACTAAAGGGGCCCTCTGGGGGGCCCCCCTGTTTGCTGGGGGGCCCCCCCACGGGGGTAGGGGCCCCCCTAAGCTGCTGCTTGGAGGGTACAGTTGGTGGCAACAGGGGGCCCCCCCTGGGGGCCCCTAGGGTACAGGAGACACTTAGAAGGGGAGCCGCTTTCCCGGGGGAGGAAGGAAGCTGCTGCTGCTGCTGCTGCTGCTGCACGCCTTCGAATGAGCAGCGGCAGCAGCAGCAGCTGCTGCTCATGAAGCAGCAGCAGCAGCAGCTGCTGCTCGTAGAGCAGCAGCAGCAACAGAAGCTGCTGCTTTTAGAGCAGCAGCAGCAGCTGCAGCAGCAGCAGCAACAGCAGCTGCTACTTACACAGCAGCAACAGCAACAGCAATCGCGGCAGCAGCTGCAGCAGCAACACCAGCTGCAGGAACAGCAGCAGCTGGTGCAGCAGCAGCAGCTGGTGCAGCAACAGCTGGTGCAGCAGCAGCAGCTGCAGCAGCAGCAGCAGCAGCAGCAGCAGCAGCAGCAGCCACGCTCCCGTGTAATTGTCTTTGACCGTAGGCCCCCAACAGCAGCAGCTGACGCATGCAGCAGCACAGGCTGTACGTACACCCCAAGGAGGCCCTCGTGCAGCAGTTCCAAAGTAAATACCCCCACAGCAGCAGCAGCAGCAGCAGCAGCAGCAGCAGCAGCAGCAGCAAGCCCTAGGCAAGACCTTCCGTGGGGCCCCCCAGGAGTACCGACGTGGGCCCCCCTAGGGGCCCCCATGAGGGTCCCTTCCAAGAGCCCCTTGGGGGACTTCCTGGGGGCCCCCATGAGGGGCCCCTTAGGGGGGCCCCTGGGGGCCCCTCTGGGGGTACCCCCGGGGGCCCCCGTGGTGGGCCCCCCTGGGGGCCCCCCGGGGGGCCCTCCTGGGGGCCCCCTGGGGGGCCCTCTGGGAGGCCCTTTCAGGGAGCTTTTGGGGGGCCCCCTGGCGGGGCCCCTGGGGGGCCCCCTTGGAGCTCTCCTCATTCCTGAGTTTGGGATGGAGTCCCCTGATGCGTGTAGGCGCATTGCTGCTGCTGCTGCTGCTGCTGCTGCTGCTGCTGCTGCTGCTGTTGCCTTTTTACCTAGTCTTTGGGTTTGACTCTTTCCCTCTTTTGCTGCTTTCTAGGCCGTTGGGATAAATCTATATGCTGCCGCTTATTTTGAAGCCTGCTGCTGCTGCTGCTGCTGCTGTTGCTGCTGCTGCTGCTGCTGCTTTTGTGCTGCAGCGCCTGCAGATGACTGCGACTTGCGCAGCATTGCTACCTGCAGCAGAGACCACAGCCCCGCACAGAAGCTGCAGCAGCAGCAGCAGCAGCAGCAGCAGCAGCCGCTCCTGCAGCTGCTGCAGCTGTACGCTCCAGCTGGCAGCAGCAAAACCCAACTCTTGCAGGGGGCCCCCAAGGAGCCGTTTAGGGGGCCCCCCATTGCCTGTACAGCTACTCTGAGGGCCCAAGAAAACGAGTTAGTACCCTGTGGCTATGAGGGGCCCCCTAGGGGGCCCCTCGGGGGCCCTGGGGGCCCCTCAGGGGGCCCCGGGGCTCCTCAGGACCCCTGGGGGCCCCTGAGGGGCCCCCAGGGGCCTCCTTGCCCTTGGGGGCCCCTTTGGGACCCCCAAGGGGCCCCCTGCCCTTGGGGGGCCCCCCAGGGGCCCCCAGGGGCCCCCGGGGGCCCTAAAACTGGTTTGTAGCATGCAAGGAGGGAGATTGTCTCCTTATGTTTTTGTGTCTCTTTGTGTCATTTCAATTTAATTAATTATTCTATTTTTCTTTTATTATTCTTTTATTTGACTCTTTTTTTGATTTATTTGCCAAACTTTCTCCTTTTTGTCTATTTGTCTCTTTGCTGCACTAGTTGCACGCAGAGAGCCCTTGGCAGCAGCTGCTGGGGTGTACGTACACCGGAACTCCAAAAAGCCACTCGCACTGCAGCAGCAGCAGCAGCAGCAGCAGCAGCAGCAGCAGCAGCAGCAGCAGCTAGGCATCAACAACTCCTGCCTCTGTGACGGCAAAAGGAGTTGCTGAGGGGGGCAGGTGTGGGGCGAACAAAACGTGCATGCAACGCATGCGCTCCAGCTGTCCGTACACCTGCTGCTGCTGCTGCTGCTGCTGGCCTGCAGCAGCAGCAGCAGCAGCAGCAGCAGCAGCAAAGTCCTCCGCAGCAGCAGCGTCTGCGCTGCTGCAGCGCGGAAATATTCGAGACAAAAAGAGACGGTAATGGAGACAGCTGCCCCACACCTCCCCCAGCGCAGCGCGCAGGTCCCCCGGAGGGTCTGCTGCTGCTGCAGCAGCTCGTGCTGCTGCTGCTGCTGCTGCTGCTGCTGCCATGTTTGCAGCTGGGGGCCAGTCGTGCTGCTGCTGCAGCATCAGCGGCTGCTGCTGCTGCTGTGGGTCACCCAGACGACGCCTCTTGGCATCCTCTGTCTCGAAGTCTATTTGCTGCTGCTGCTGCTGCTGCTGCTGCCAGCGCTGCCCAGCAGCAGCAGCAGCTGCTGCTGCAGCAGCAGCTGCAGGAGTTGGAGCTATTCTTGCTGCTACGTGGTTGACGACGAGGCAGCAGCAGCTGTGTTCAGCAGCAACTCTGCGAAGCAGCGCAGCAAGCCTGACGAGCTTGCTGTTGCGAGCTGCTGCTGCTGCTGCTGCTGTTGCTGCTGCTGCTTCTCCTTGCTTCAGCAGCGCAGCAACAGAATCCACCACCAGCAGACACACGCGGCCCTTAGCAGCAATTAGTCTTGGCAGCTTATAAAGGAGACAGGAGACAAGTTCTTCTTCGCAGCTGATCTCCTCCACCAGGATCTGCTGCAGCAGATTTGCTGCTGTTGCTGCTGCTGCTGCTGCGCTGCTGCTGCTGCTGCTGGCTGCAGAGCGACGCAGCAGCCGCTGCAGCAGCAGCTCCCCGAGGCGCCCGGCAGGGAAAGACCCCTCCGAGTGCAGGTAGTAAACCACCCCGCCGCTGCTGCTGCTGCTGCTGCTGCTGCAGTGCAGCAGCTGCTGGCGCTGCTGCTGCAGCAGGTGCTGCTGCAGCACGCACTCAGCAGCAACTGACAACACAAACTGTGTCTTGCCACTTCCTGCTGCTCCACAAACTTCCCCCAACATGCCTGTGGGGAGGCCCCCCCCGAGGGCCCTATCGAGGGCGGGTTCGTGCAGCGGCAGCAGCAGC